GGTCATGCTCGCTGGATCGATGCTCATGATATTAATCACTGGATTGTCTGGACCAGACTCGATTATTTACAGACCGCCGTCAAATAGCTGGAATATTGCTAAGTGCGGCGTTAAACAACAAACCAACCAACCAACCACCCAACTGAAGTCCCCGACTTTCATCATAAGCTGAGTCAGCTACAAAAGAAATGTGTGGATCGAGACATCAAAACTGCCCACACCCCCACGGTTTGCAAAACAAATATTAATTCATAAACGTTTTTTTACTTATTTGCAGCAGAATCTCATATCGTTATTATCAATTTCAATAAAATCAGTAAATGCATGATCGCGTCGGTGAATTTTCTGGTCCATGGATGACTTTGTTTGTCTGGTTTGTTTATAGACCAATATCGCATGGCAGGAGTTCAGCTGTGCGTCGTATACTTAAGGCAACAAGCACTTTCGTATTGATGCAAATTGTTTGAGTGGTTGGTGTTACTGGTGGGGCAGGACATGCTTCCCCTTTTCGCGAACACCTGATGCCATCATTGATTTTCATTGGTATTGTCATATAGTTTCCACATGTATTTAGCCCTTTATGCCAAACAGAATTAACTATCATGTTTAATGAACTAGATCTCTTCAGAGATTCCATTAGAATTGTATGTGTGAGATGGTTCTGTGAACATGTTTAGAATCGCGAAGGGGATGTTATGTCTTATTGACTTCACTTGGCTTCGACTGAGGTGTTTATCCCCGGTCACCTTGCGAGACAAACCCACATTCAGGAGCCTTTTGCTCGTAACATGAATGGCTCTTGTCATCCCTTCAAATCATATATTATTTATGAAAGAGCGGCAGAAGGTCCTTCAGGTATTCTCTACCAACTTGAAACAATTAAGTAACTTAGTCAATTTATTGTTTGAAATCACTGGAGGATGAAGCATCCTATGCTTGTTCCCACCACTTGGATTTGGTCAAGTTGTCAGCATCCGATTTTTAATACGTTTGCCATGTCAGACACACTTTTAATCTCCATCACTTAGTCTATGTCATGCTCAAAATGAACTTAAATCTATCAAGATGGGTTTTTTATCTGTAAACCTCTAGTCCTCAAGGGGGCACGGGTGTCCCAGTCGGGTAAGGCGCCGCGATTCGCTGTGCAGAGTTGCGTCCCTTGGGCACGCAAGAAACCTATGATTGCGGGTTCGAATCCCGGTTCGGCCCGATTATGTTTCTAGGTTTGTCAGCACCATACCCGTGCTCATGGGTTTCACCGAAATGGTCTAAGAATTAATGCAAAGGTATGTTTTTTTTACCAAATCTGAAACAATTTCGGTTTGCAACAGATAAAAGACTCCTGTAAGTGTTCAAATGGTTTAATTTGACACACTGACATACAGAAAATGCGTGATGTCATGAAAAAACATGAACATGCCATAATGTCAGTCTACAAATCAATAGCGTGTGTGTCAACCTCTAGTTGCAATGCAAGCAACACATCTTCGTCTCAAGTCATGTGGGATATCTGTCCATATCTGGTGAAGCATGTTTCGAAGTTCCTTGAGTGTCTGTGGAACACATGGTTGACGTCGAAGGCGCCGATCCATCTCATCCCACATGTGCTCGATTGGTGAAAGATCAGGGGAGCGAGCCGTACAGGGGATGACATTCACGTTGTTTTGTTGAAGAGAATCCTGAACAAGTCGAGCAATATGAGGCCGGGCGTTTTCATGTTGAAAGGTAGTGCCTGGGCCATTACGACGCAAAAACGGTAGAACAACAGGGCCGATGATGTCGTCGCGGTAGCGCTGTCCATAGTCTCTGACTGCGTTCGTCTGTTGCCAATTTGCCACAAATACCAAATGGTGTTTCCGTGGACATTAAATTGTCTTGCAACATCACGTTGACTCGATCCTGCTTCAAGCATACCAATGGCTCGCAGACGCTCATTTTCGGACATGCGTGGCATTTCGTAATGTTGAATAATTGTGTAATTTTGTTGTTTTTCTGAGTGGTTGTTGTCAGCATGATATTGAACAATGCATATGAAATCCCGTTGACGCACATGTTTTTATACCCATTCTTGGGTAGTGAAATGCATAGGGGTTGCATAAAAGTCAACTTTTGCATGGAATACATGCTTTTCTGTAGCAGTTGCGTTTATGTGACTTGATTCCATACATGTACTACAATCTTGAAAAACAAACTTCACTTATTTCCAAAAATACAATGAAGTATTGGTGTCACAGGAACTGCTGTTATTAAGTATAAAACGCATAAATTAATTGAGCATCATCACCGTATCAACAATCGAGGTCAGTTGATCCCCACAATGAAATCATCTACCAAAGTCAATCGAATCCTATCACCAAATCAACTTAGTCATAGGCACCTGAGTAAAATGTATTTTCTCAGAAAAGAAATACATCGGTTCAAAAAATGCATACCACGTGGAGTTTGTTTTTTACATATATATACACGCTGAAGAGAGAGCGGGCACACACAGCGACAACAACTAAAATATTGGTGTCACAGTAACCCTGCACAAAAATGTTTGACAAGAGGGATTACTTCATTTTCAAAAAGTATACTTTCCCGCACCTACCTTGGGTACTCACACATCACAACTTTTGAGGTACAATCGATAGCATGCTCTATCTATAAACCGACAACACTCCCAGTCAGTCGCCGGTCTACACCCGTCAGCCCTCTCAGTTTCATCATCCGACCCTCTCCGGCCACACCGTCCAATTCACTCAGCCTACACCATCCAACCCTCTCAGTTCACACCTCCAACCCTCTCAGTCTACACCGTCCAACTCTCAGTCGACACCCTCCAACCCTTTCAGTCCACACCGTCCAAGCCTCTCACTCTACACCGTCAAACCCGCTCAGTCTACAACATCCAACCTTCCCAGTCTACACCGCCCAAGCCTCTCAGTCTACACCGCCCAACCCTCTCAGTCTACACCCTCCAACCCTCTCAGTATACACCGTCCAACCCCTCAGTCTGCACCGTCCAACCCGCTCAGTCGACACCCTCCGACCCTTTCACTCTACACCGTCCAACCCGCTCAGTCTACAACCTCCAACCTTCCCAGTCTACACCACCCAAGCCTCTCAGTCTACACCGCTCAACCCTCTCAGTCGACACCCTCCAACCCCCTCAGTCTTCACCGTCCAACCCTCTCAGCCTACACTGTACAACCCTCTCAGCCTACACCGTCCAACGCTCTCAGTCTACGCCCTCCAACCCTCTCAATCTACACCGTCCAACCCTCTCAGTCCTCACCGTCCAACGCTCTCAGTGTACGCCCTCCAACCCTCTCAGTCTACACTGTCCAACCCGCTCAGTCTACACCCTCCATTCCTCTCAGCCTACACCCTCCAACCCTCTCAGCCTACACCGTCCAACGCTCTCAGTCTACACCGTCCAACCTCAAAGTCTACACCGTCCAACCCTCTCAGTCTTCACCATCCAACCCTCTAAGCCTACACCATCCAAACCTCTCAGCCTACACCCTCCAACCCTCTCAGCCTACACCGTCCAACCCGCTCAGTCTACAACCTCCTACCTTCCCAGTCTACACCGCCCAAGCCTCTCAGTCTACACCGCCCAACCCTCTCAGTCGACACCCTCCAACCCTCTCAGTCTACACCGTCCAACCTCTCAGTCTGCACCGTCCAACCCGCTCAGTCGACACCCTCCAACGCTCTCAGTCTACACCATCCAAGCCTCTCAGCCTACACCGTCAAACCCTTTCAGTCTACACCCTTCATCCCGCTCAATCTACTACGTCCAACACTTTCCGTCTACGCCGTCCAACCCTCTCCGTCTACGCCGTCCAGCCCTCTCAGTCTACACCGTCCAACCCTCTCAGCCTAAACCCTCCAACCCTCTCAGCCTACACCGTCCAACCTCGCAATCTACACCGTCCACTCCACTCAGTCTACAACCTCCAACCCTCCTAGTCTACACCGTCCAAGCCTCTTAGCCTACACCGTCCAACCCTCCCATTCTACACCCTCCAACCCTCTCAGTCCACACCGTCCAACCCTCTCAGTCCTCACCGTCCAACGCTCTCAGTGTACGCCCTCCAACCCTCTCAGTCTACACTGTCCAACCCGCTCAGTCTACACCCTCCATTCCTCTCAGCCTACACCCTCCAACCCTCTCAGCCTACACCGTCCAACGCTCTCAGTCTACACCGTCCAACCTCAAAGTCTACACCGTCCAACCCTCTCAGTCTTCACCATCCAACCCTCTAAGCCTACACCATCCAAACCTCTCAGCCTACACCCTCCAACCCTCTCAGCCTACACCGTCCAACCCGCTCAGTCTACAACCTCCTACCTTCCCAGTCTACACCGCCCAAGCCTCTCAGTCTACACCGCCCAACCCTCTCAGTCGACACCCTCCAACCCTCTCAGTCTACACCGTCCAACCTCTCAGTCTGCACCGTCAAACCCTTTCAGTCTACACCCTTCATCCCGCTCAATCTACTACAACCAACACTTTCCGTCTACGCCGTCCAACCCTCTCCATCTACGCCGTCCAGCCCTCTCAGTCTACACCGTCCAACCCTCTCAGCCTAAACCCTCCAACCCTCTCAGCCTACACCGTCCAACCTCGCAATCTACACCGTCCACTCCACTCAGTCTACAACCTCCAACCCTCCCAGTCTACACCGTCCAAGCCTCTTAGCCTACACCGTCCAACCCTCCCATTCTACACCCTCCAACCCTCTCAGTCCACACCGTCCAACCCTCTCAGTCTACACCGTCCAACCCTTTCAGTCTACACCGTCCAACCCTCTCAGCCTACACCGTCCAACCCTTTAGTCTACACTGCTCAACCCTCCCAGTCTACACAGTCCAACCCTTTATCCTACACCGTCCAACCCTCTAAGCCTACACTGTCCAACCCTCTCAGTCTTCACCGTCCAACGCTCTCAGTCTACGCCCTCCAACCCTCTCACTCTACACCGTCCAACCCTCTCAGTCTTCACCGTCCAATGCTCTCAGTCTACGCCCTCCAACCCTCTCAGGCTACACCCTTCATTCCTCTCAGTCTGAACCGTCCAACCCGCTCAGTCGACACCCTCCAACCCTTTCAGTCCACACCGTCCAAGCCTCTCACTCTACACCGTCCAACCCGCTCAGTCTACAACCTCCAATCTTCCCAGTCTACACCGCCCAAGCTTCTCAGTCTTCACCGCCCAACCCTCTCAGTCGACACCCTCCAACCCTCTCAGTCTACACCGTCCAACCTCTCAGTCTGCACCGTCCAACCCGCTCAGTCGACACCCTCCAACCCTTTCAGTCCACACCATCCAAGCCTCTCACTCTACACCGTCAAACCCGCTCAGTCTACAACATCCAACCTTCCCAGTCTACACCGCCCAAGCCTCTCAGTCTTCACCGCCCAACCCTCTCAGTCGACACCCTCCAACCCTCTCAGTCTACACCGTCCAACCTCTCAGTCTGCACCGTCCAACCCGCTCAGTCGACACCCTCCAACGCTCTCAGTCTACACCATCCAAGCCTCTAAGCCTACACTGTCAAACCCTTTCAGTCTACACCCTTCATCCCGCTCAATCTACTACGTCCAACACTTTCCGTCTACGCCCTCCAACCCTCTCCTTCTACGCCGTCCAGCCCTCTCAGTCTACATCGTCCAACCCTCTCAGCCTAAACCCTCCAACCCTCTCAGCCTACACCGTCCAACCTCGCAATCTACACCGTCCACTCCACTCAGTCTACAACCTCCAACCCTCCCAGTCTACACCGTCCAAGCCTCTTAGCCTACACCGTCCAACCCTCCCATTCTACACCCTCCAACCCTCTCAGTCCACACCGTCAAACCCGCTCAGTCTACAACATCCAACCTTCCCAGTCTACACCGCCCAAGCCTCTCAGTCTACACCGCCCAACCCTCTCAGTCGACACCCTCCAACCCTCTCAGTCTACACCATCCAAGCCTCTCAGCCTACACCGTCAAACCCTTTCAGTCTACACCCTTCATCCCGCTCAATCTACTACGTCCAACACTTTCCGTCTACGCTGTCCAACCCTCTCCGTCTACGCCGTCCAGCCCTCTCAGTCTACACCGTCCAACCCTCTCAGCCTAAACCCTCCAACCCTCTCAGCCTACACCGTCCAACCTCGCAATCTACACCGTCCACTCCACTCAGTCTACAACCTCCAACCCTCCCAGTCTACACTGTCCAAGCCTGTTAGCCTACACCGTCCAACCCTCCAATTCTACACCCTCCAACCCTCTCAGTCCACACCGTCCAACCCTCTCAGTCTACACCGTCCAACCCTTTCAGTCTACACCGTCCAACCCTCTCAGCCTACACCGTCCAACCCTTTAGTCTACACTGCTCAACCCTCCCAGTCTACACAGTCCAACCCTTTATCCTACACCGTCCAACCCACTAAGCCTTCACTGTCCAACCCTCTCAGTCTTCACCGTCCAACGCTCTCAGTCTACGCCCTCCAACCCTCTCACTCTACACGGTCCAACCCTCTCAGTCTTCACCGTCCAATGCTCTCAGTCTACGCCCTCCAACCCTCTCAGGCTACACCCTTCATTCCTCTCAGTCTGAACCGTCCAACCCGCTCAGTCGACACCCTCCAACCCTTTCAGTCCACACCGTCCAAGCCTCTCACTCTACACCGTCCAACCCGCTCAGTCTACAACCTCCAATCTTCCCAGTCTACACCGCCCAAGCTTCTCAGTCTTCACCGCCCAACCCTCTCAGTCGACACCCTCCAACCCTCTCAGTCTACACCGTCCAACCTCTCAGTCTGCACCGTCCAACCCGCTCAGTCCACACCATCTAACCCTTTCAGTCCACACCGTCCAAGCCTCTCACTCTACACCGTCAAACCCGCTCAGTCTACAACATCCAACCTTCCCAGTCTACACCGCCCAAGCCTCTCAGTCTACACCGCCCAACCCTCTCAGTCGACACCCTCCAACCCTCTCAGTCTACACCGTCCAACCTCTCAGTCTGCACCGTCCAACCCGCTCAGTCGACACCCTCCAACGCTCCCAGTCTACACCATCCAAGCCTCTCAGCCTACACCGTCAAACCCTTTCAGTCTACACCCTTCATCCCGCTCAATCTACTACGTCCAACCCTTTCCGTCTATGCCGTCCAACCCTCTCCGTCTACGCCGTCCAGCCCTCTCAGTCTACACCTTCCAACCCTCTCAGCCTAAACCCTCCAACCCTCTCAGCCTACACCGTCCAACCTCGCAATCTACACCGTCCACTCCGCTCAGTCTACAACCTCCAACCCTCCAAGTCTACACCGTCCAAGCCTCTTAGCCTACACCGTCCAACACTCTCAGTCGACACCCTCCATCGTCTCAGTCTACACCGTCCAACCCTCTCAGTCTACACCGTCCAACCCTCCAAGTCTACAGCGTCCAACCCTCTCAGTCTACACCCTCCAACCCTCTTATTCTACACCGTCCTACCCTCTAAGTCTACACCCTCCAACTCTCTCAGTCTACACCCTCCAACCCTCTCAACCGACCACTTAGGTGCTCTTATTTTACGAATAATGACAGTAGTGCTACCCTGTGTCAGATACCAGTCTGCAGTTGGGTGTCAGGTGACAGTTTTAGTTTTATAGTTCTCTTTAGGGGTACGTATATGTAGCCAACAAGCAACAATGCTTTACTTTACATGTCCTATCTTTAGCTGTGGGGTATCTGCGAATCATAAAGACAACATCTACTTTTATAAATATGGGAATGGTGCAGTGTAAACGACAGGATGGTAAGTCATTAAAAAGGAAAAGTGCGGAAGAAACGCCCAACATATAGAGTCTGTCGATGAGCATAATATACCAATAATTTTGAAGGAAACAATCATTTTCTTCATAAAGACAAATGTCGGTTTGGTGAGTCTCGCCCAGCTACGTGCGTGTGTGGTTTGTTGTGAATTAAGGCTCATGTTACACGTAGCTGTAAGGGCTCTACACACGACACCTATAAGGTCGAGGATCAATGGGTTTACCTCAAACACTGATAGTTGATAGGCATGCTGTGTGCAGGCTTTTCTTGAAGCTGTTTGTTGAGAAGACAGACATGTGAACACTTGCCACATGGGAGTACTAACTTAAATTGATTTTTTATTGAAAAACAGCATGACACACACATAATATTGTACACAGACTTCAGGTCATCATGACCTATCATGTTGCATTTATTGTTTTCATGATCATTCAGACCGCAATACACATACTTGTATTACCTTGGAATATCAGTATATGATAATTATATGAAAACTGAACTGAAATGCGGTCATTTCGGTTATTATTGATCTGGTTTTGAGGTTTCATTACGCCTACGGTTGTGACATAAACAGAAATTCGTATACATTCAATCGTAAATCATTATTGTAGGAGTGGTTGGTGGACACGGGATTGCTACATGGCGGAACAGCAGTAGTTGACTCGTGGGTCACCGGCTAGCCATACAGTTTGTCTAGACTTCTTTTCTCTTATGTTTTTTTTTAAAAAATGAACGGTGTAATTTCAGATCAGAAAGAATTCCCCATGGTACAATAAATAAAATATAATTTTTGATCCGTATGATATTTCAACAGAACACCACGTATACTTGACATGGTATCACAGTAGTTGAGAGAACAATACTGCCAATATCCATCGCATTGACCTCTGCATCTCAGTGCTAGAATACGTGTTGTAGATTGCATATGTAGGAACACCATACCCTTGCCGGTGGGTTTCACCGAAATGGTAAAAGTATGCATCACTTCGGTCTCTCCTCCAAAACCAAACCGACTTCTTACAGGTGTTATATGCATTGTTATTTTGTACGCATACCTATTGTGTATTTAGTTACATTATCACAACATTTTTAATATCAATTCGTTTGAACTATAGTGCCGGTCATTAATAAGTTTAAACTATGTTAAAATCGTTTACGTCACATGGTAATTCCAACACTATATATCTTCTCCCTGTAAATAGCCTTCATTGAGAATGAGGCCAGCGAATACATACGTATACTCACACGCAAAAGAAACGCAAAGACGGAACCATAAACTGATACGAGTTTTAGCATGAAGTGAAGCCTGATGGTGTTATCAATATTTTTGGTTGCATTTTGGAAGCCCCCAGTAAAAACGCAACATAAAAAAAGAATCGCCAAAACGCACCATTTCAATGAATATGTAGGTATCATGCACCCATTTCTCCCGAAGTCGAAAATGCACGAACTGTCACGAACTGTAGTTGCTATAAAACTGGGCCGATTCTTGGACCTACCACTCCTTGGTCAACAATGCCACGCTTAACACAAATGCAGAGAAACAAAGCTATCGGACGTTTGGAAGCTGGAGGGTCTGTCCAAGATGTTGCCCGTCATTTCAACGTTAACATAACCACAATTTACCGTCTCCTGCATCGATACAATGCCTAGACCACAGATGACCTTCCTCGGAGCGGCCGTCCTAGGATCACCACACCTCGGCAAGATCGGCAGATTACCCGTCAACACCAGCGACATCAGTTCATAACTGCAAGTGAAAGTGCAGACCATAGGAACACATAATCGTCACATTAGCTGGGACACTGTGATCAGACGTCTGCGTTCCAACAACCGCAGATGTCGCCGACCAGCACGTCATCCTGTTCTCCAACCACGGCATCGACAAGCAGGACTTCTGTGGGCACAGGGTCATCACAATTGGCGTCATCGTGAGTGAAGGCGTGTCATCACCTCTGATGAAAGTCGCTTTTGTGTCTCATATGCAGACGGAAGTCAGAATTTGGCGGCGTCGAGGTGATCATTTCGCTGACAGAAACGTTGTTGAAAGGGGTCCATAGAGTGGACCTAGCGTCATGATATGGGCAGGGATTGGACTTAATGCGAGACTTGGACCCATGTGCTTTCTGAATGTTGGTCAAGGTCGGGGACACGGCGTCACTGCTCAGCGGTATATCGACCACGTGATCATTTTTCCATTTTTTGCACATCAACAACACATTTTCCAGCAGGACAACGCTCGTCGCCAAGTTGCCTGAGCTACCATGGCCTTTCTGCAACAACACAACATCCGTTATCTACCATGACCAGCCCTCAGCCCTGACCTGAACCCCATCGAACACTTGTGGGATGAGGTTCAAAGGCGTCTGCACAATGTGCGCCCAGTCCCTACAACTGCCGATGAACTACGCACAGCTGCTCTGGATGTGTGCAGGAGGATCCCTAGGGACTTCACAAATCGTCGGATCCACTCAATGTACAGGAAATGTGTGGCAGTGATCAATGCTAATGGTGGTCACACCAGGTATTGACTGACATTTTTGGTATTGACCCGAAACTGTGTAAGCCCTTAACATTCGAAAAAACAATTAAGTCATCTGCCTTTTAATCCATTAAACTGTCTTAAGTCAAATTTTAATGTCAATCTTGCCCTATAAGTATTTCTTGTCTTTACTGTTGAAAATAAATAACATGTATACTGCATACTCGACTTGCGTTTCTTTTGTGTGTGAGTCTATTTTCTGTGTTTGTTTAGAAGTAGTTATGTTGAATAGGCATAACATGACGTGATCATATCGCTCAGTACACTGAGACGTGCGTCTTATCGGTGCACTGACATAGTTACACTTACATGTATCAACATGATTCGATCAGTGGCTCCCCACAGTGGGCCTTTTATTTGTTGTTTGTCAAGTTTAAACATGTTTCAATTGGTGTACACAAAGTTATACGGTCTGCATTTCTCTATGAGAACGCTTGTTTCAGGTAAGAC